AGTGCTTCAAAATTTCTTCATATGAGTGGATACTCTACCAGCGATATGAGGGAACTACGTCCACTGTTTGGCAAAGAAAATATAATTTAGAACTCATTACAAGTACACCTCTAAATGCAAGCAACATTGTTATAAATGGAGGTTCCCTTGCTGCTGGAAATATGTACCGCTTGGCATTATTTATCACAACTAACGACGGTTTATGGGCAATGTCAGCCTACGACATTTCCACCGCGTTACCGCCCACAAGGGGGACATGCTCGATCACTCCGTCAAGTGGCATCTCCTTGGAATCACACTTTAATCTGAGCTGTATCAACTGGACAAGTGACAGCACCCCTCTGTCGTACCGGTTTCAATATAGACTAGAGAACGGTATGTACACTGTGTTATATCATGGCGTCAACAACTCCATAGTTACCTTTGGGATACCGCCTGGGAACAATGCAGAAAACTTTACCATGAGATTCAACGTTGTTGTGACTGATAACTTCGGAATTTCTGCCTCTCCTGTTAATCTAACAGTACAGGTAAGTTAAGTTGGTAGGTTCTGTAATATTGATGTAGTTGGGAAATTTTGTTCACATAATTTCGTCATTTTTTGACAGCTAGCCATCGGAGGGTAAAAAAGCAAACTTTTTCTAAACATGTAACTTATCCAATAGTGACCGATGCTCTTTCTGTAGGTTAAACCTTCCCAGAGTCTAAGACAAGATGAAATCAGAAGCCTGGAGGCCATGATCCAGGAAGTCATCAGAAAAGGAGACTTGGGAAAAGCGGCACAATTAGCAAACTCTGTCCTTCAAATTGTTGCACAAGAAACCAAGATGAATTTGGAGAAGAAAATCAAGGTAAATGCAATTACAAATGTTTTATATCTCATGGACGCACTATTCGTGTGGTAGCATAATGATATCTCTGCGTATCCAAGTATTTGCACATACGTGTGTTAATGTATTGTAGTACTAATGACTTTTATAATCCAACTGCACTGAGTAGACTACAAATAATACACAGAGAATAATACATGCTCCCGTAGATATGGAATTTTTCTAGGAGCTTTTAACTCGATAGCTCACGAGTGAGCGCAGCGAAAGAGTGAGATGTCGAGTTGAACACGAGAAGAGAAATTCCATATCTACAAGCAACCATGAATTACTTTGTTTATCATACAAACACAATAGCTCTTTACTGAGAAGAAAAGCCGACTTCATTTATGAATTAAAATAAATGAATCGACATTCCCCAAATAATAATCATAGACTATGTTGGCCCTAGCTCCTAAGATGGAAAAATGCGTTGAATCATGATTAAAAAAACAACAATGGTCGTAATTTTCAATTTACAAAATTCTCAGTTATTGACTTTGTCCTTACCGACAGAAGAGGTCTTTCAGGTAAACGGCCAAAATCGGCTAGTGGCAAATCTTGCAGTTGTCGATTTTCATCCTCAGCCGGGAGAAATGCTAACACCAAAGCCACTGAATATGT